TTTTTCCTTTTTATTTTTTCAAGGTTGCTAATGAAATTATATGGTCCTTTTCGTTTTGTCCCCCTTTCTCCTCCTTTTGATTTGATCAATTAGTCTGTTTTTTTTTTTTTTTTTTCCTGTGGAAAGGGCAACTGGCTTGAGATTTTAGCACCGAACTGATCGAGCGTCATTTAGGTAATTCAGAATTTGGTATATTCCTTTTTTTTTYTTTTTTTTTTTGGTCTATTTCACTCATCTGCTTTCTCAATGGAGTTCGAACTGGGGGGTCTATATTTGAACAGTAAATGGGGGGGTATCAACCCCGGCCACCTTCTACCGCCGAATACGAAGTACGGTCATTATGGCTGTATCTAGACAGAAAGATGTCTCAAATACAGCTATAATGACCGCACGCTGTATTCGAGGGACGAAGGTATAGGCCAGTTAGTCAATTGTTAATTGGTACTTTCCAAATGTGCAAAATCAGACCGAGTCCTCCGCCAGAACACGGACATATACAGTGCTACATTTTTTGTGCGTTGTGCGCGTGGACAGTAGTGGAGCGAGGCGCTTTTTTCTGAAATTGAGACGGATGTTTATGACCTTAATTCCGGTCAGATTCTCGGTTTCATCAATAGATGTTTCTGATAGCAGCGACGGTCACTTTTTCCGAGCGTCATCAAATCGAGCGGATGTTTGTGACGACAACCACGGTCAATTTTTCAGCCCATCAGTTTTAGGGGACGTTTTTTATCGCAATTACGGTCAAATGGTCAGTTTCATCAATTGTAATGGATGTTTGTGACTGCAATTACGGTCAAATTCTCAGCCGAGAGAACATGTAGACAGTGTTTGCGGATGAGCTGTACCAAGTCACCATCTCATTAYGCGGGAGCTCGCTGCGGTTTCTCCTTCCCTTTATTTTTTTTTTATTTTTTATTTTTTTGTCCCCCCACCCAGGCTACCCCTCTTCCCCCGGGCCCAGGTCCCATTAGCAAAGAGGATTGGATCGAACGCCTGAATGTGGACGTGCTTGTGCAAAGGGTGCAGAAACTCGAGATTGAACTGCTTTTCTGCAGCTCTGCTTAAAACACGTCCAGATTCAGGAGCTTAATCCAATCCTCTTCGCTAGTGGGACG